TGTTCCTCCAGAAACCCCTTATATTCCTCTGTACACTGAAGACTGGATGTCCAGTCTGACGGACAGCAACGTGACCTTCCTACCAGACTGCAATAAAGAGCGTGGGGGGATCTGCAACGTCTCTGACACCTGGGACTCTACAACCTCCTCAGACGTTAAGCCCACACAAAACACCACTGCCACAAACCAATCGATCAACCCCTTCCTGGTCCCAGCTCCACTCATGTTGGTGCCGCTGTATACCGACTGGAACAGTGCCATGGCAGCTTGGGGCCTGGCCTGGGAGGCGCATGTTTACGGGGCTGGTTGTGCCTTCGCAATGCTAACTCTAGCCTCAGCGCTCAATCTGCTCTGCTTGCCGCTGCGATGTCCATCCGGATGTGGCTACTTTGCCCTGGTCAGCCTGTTTCTACTAGCTGCTGGTTGTACCAGATCTTTCTCGTTGCTGTACGATGCCTACGGCCACCAGGACCGCCTACCGTCCACAGAGGCCTCGCTGATGCTCTACGAAGCACCGTTTCCCTGCTTGACTGCAGCTTTTGGTCTGGTTTTTCTTCTCCTCTCCATGCGCTCAAGAATGCAGCTCTCCTACTCTGCCTTCCAGAGACCCTGTTTCCTGGCCTGCCTGGTTTTCCTGCACTTTGCTGCTGCATTTGGACCGGTGACATTACTGAAGTTTTACCAGCAAAAACCTCCCCTTTGCCTCTTTCTTTCACTAATCTCCCGTGGAGCCTTTGTAGCACTGGCCACGTTTCTGTCTGCTGCCTATTTTGTGTTCTACATCTATGTACGGGCAGATTCGAAGCACATCTACCACCTGAATAACACATCTCCAACACCTGCTGAGCGCTACAACCGCTGCCCCTTTGCTGAGAGCCGGGACTGGGACCGTGCAGCTGTAACCGTTTGTCTTTCAGCATTGTTTTTTTTAGCATGTGCAGGACTGCAGTTATTTGCCATTCTCAATGCTATGGGCGTTGCAGGTGGAGAGGAGGTCTTCCACCCTTGGCCGTGGTGGGCTTTTCAGTTTAGCTGCAGACTGTGTGAACTCGGGGTTTGTCTAACCTTAGCATTGGTAGTCGCACAACCAGTCTACTGTTCTGACCACCTCCCAGCAGCAGGGAGCTGCTGGACTGAACTATTGGCATCCAAGTCGCCCATATTGCCTGGGAGCTACCAGTGGTCCCTGAGCCAGCAGGAGAAGCTTGCCATCGTTGATACCATTGGGCTTGGAGAGACAGAGAGCCTTCCTCTTTACACTCTGATGGATGAAAGGCTTGGGAGCAGTCTGAATGGCCTGGACCTTCTCTACCATAGCAACCGGGCCTTGGCATACAGAGATCTCGACTTGGATTTGGATTTACAGGGTTCAGAAAAACCTGAGGATGGAGGAGGCGGAGAGCCTTCAGGTGGATCCTCGTTTACCAGTGACTCCACCACAGACCTGCGGCCACCTTCGCCCATCAACCTGCGTCGCAGCATAGACGAGGCACTCTTCAGTGAGGCCCTCTTTCCCATGAGCCTCTTTAGCCCTACAAGGCCTATCCGCTGCAGCGATCTTTCCATAAACAACCACTGTGCACTACCCAGCAACGGCCTCTGTGATCCTCTCTCAGCCGACCCTGGCCTTTATCGGACCTCTTCCTGCGTGGAAATGGCCCCTCCACCCCAGCCCCCTTTCAACCAATCTCAAGTTGACACTGTTGTAGGTGCTCCACCATCGCCCTCCCTGTCCTCTTCCACCAGCTGTTCATCTCCTGAACGTTGGAGGGACAGCTCTTCTTCCTGTTCCCTCTACCGAGCCTCTCTTGGTGGTTCCTCGTTGGTCCTCTGCCCAAGCCCAGAGAGACACGCTCGTCAGCTTCTCCAGCAAGGGGGTACGGGCCATATGCCGTCCTCTGGCCACCAGGGTCATGCTGACCCACAGAGGCACTATCAAACACTGGGCGCAGCCTCACAGGAGAGCCTGGACCTGGACATGTCGTCCGAGGCAGACCGATCAGTGCAGGAGGAGTTCATCAGTGTTTGCAGACAAATCGATGCTTTGAGCATCTGCAGTGAGACTATTGATTTATAAAGGACAGTCTGGTCAAACAAGGGTTTCGCTGAGGACTTATTAAGGAGACTGTCTGCTTTGTGTGGCAAGTTGACCATCAACATTTTTTACAGCCTATTTGGTAGTGCATGGTAGCTTTTGCGTACACCATAAAACACCTATAGCTGCCAAAATAAAGGTTTTGGAAGTTTGAGAAGCTCTCTTATGCGATCGTTAGTGAATGTCTATGAGGGTCTAAGTGCCAAGAATGTCAAAAGCCAAAAGGTAATTTGTAACTTTTACATGTTTGATAAAGGATGTTGAAGTTTGATATAGTCAAAAGAATAGTAAGATTTTACTGAGTGAAGATAACAGGAATTTATTTGTACAAATGTTTTTATTGCATTCCAACATTCCAATAGATAGTACTGTTACTGAATTAAGCACTTATTAAATACTACTGAAGTCCTACCCTTTCAAACTCAAAATATCATTGTCATTAAATCTCATGTTGAATAAATGGGATTAGAATTAAGTTTGTCAAACTATAAACTCTCCATATCAATATGTCACAGATCTTGCAGTTATGGTGTGGTACTGTTCATGGTGCAGCAGTGCCCTCTACTGGTAAAACGCACACTATGTTACCTTTATCCTCCTACATTTATCACCAATGGATTGTGCTTCTACATACACTGACAGCATCTTCTATGACCGGCTTACTAATTTATTTAAGTTCAAAAATAACTTTGCTCAACACATCGTTTAATAAAGTTTGTTTTATAACATCTGGCTTTTTTTTTTTTACTTCCAGCAATGTGACTTTGCAACACATGAGACAGCAATCCATGCACAGTTCAATTTATTTATTTATTCTTATTTACCATATTGAACAGCAAAAGCAATTTTTATCTGTTGAGCGTTTTACTGTAAACATAATCTGAAGTGATATTCCTCAAAAAACCCTGATGGATTAATTGAATACTGAGTCTTTTCCGTCCATCTAAAAAACCCTTGCTTATTGATTTGGTTGCTGGTTGTAGAAGCTACCACTGTGGTTGGGAAAAAAATTGCAATATACTAAAGCTGAAATCATTAAAAAGAAAAGAAAAAGAGTGCAACACGAAAAAACTGTAAACCTAATATTTCACTTAACACTATAGCTGTGCTTTTTAGGTGGACTAACAGGACTCAGTACTTCACAAATAAGACATTTTATAAACCTGAATTTTCTCTTTAGATGGAAAATGGAAAAACAAGCAGCCATCATTTCCAACTGAATATAGGTATATATTTCTCCATACATTTTCATGTACATTTTCTTGCAATTTAGCCCAATTGCAAGAATTTTGTTAGTCAAGTGATCCCTGTGCAGGGTAAAGTACATTAGCACATTAGAGAAAGCAACTCAACTCTTACAATCTGGGACATTTTATTTAAAAAAAAAAAATAATAATAATTGGCCAAAAGGACATCCAGTACGAAAATGTTAGGAAATCCTACTCCTACATAAGCTGAATGATAACAAACACAGGGATCCTGTTTCAAAGTAAGAAAAAAGAGGCGAGAGGATGTGTAGCTTTATGCAATTTCACTGAGCTGTGCAGCCTTTGTCCATCCACCCATTTCAAGGCATATCTCTGGTAAAAAAGAAACAAATAATTCAGAAATAAAATAAACCTATCGAAGAGAACCTATGCCACACTGTGAGAATGCAGGAATGAATAAGTGACAAGGTAACAAGCGACTTGTTGCGCCAATTTTGGTTTTGAAGTTACAAAAGAAGAGTGTCGGAGAAGTGTAAATACACTTGGCAGTATGTATGCAATTACAATAAAGCAGAATATAAATATAGCCATGTTTGGCTTAGTGAAAAAACAAACATGCATATCAAAAACACTTCATGCTCAATTCAACGCCCCCAAGACTATACAGGTCTAATATAAAGTTTGTTTAATCTAAAAGTATTCAAATAATGGGCAGACATCTTCTCTCATTAAGAACTAGGTTTTGATTGGTTTGATACATTTTAGTTTAGTTTTTTAATTTTTTTTTATTTTAAACATACCTGATCTTTAGCTTTTGGTCCATTCCATGCTCAAAATGTGAACACTATGCACTGAGATGGGACACTGATTATTTGGCTCAAGATGTCTTTTAAGGGGAAACGTATGACCACAGTGGTGGAGACTGTGGGTCTGGGCTCTGAGTCTACTGATTGTAGGTGACACTCGAGGAAACAAAGTCAAAAGGATAATCGCCATGGCCAATATCTCACACCTCCGGATCCACAATACGAGAAGTAAACAATAAGCACTGAAAATTAGCAGCTACTGTTCATTAAATAGCTCATATCTGTGATGACTTACAAATGCAAAAACAAACAGATTGCCATGATATACCGACACACTGCACATAGAGACAAGTGTTTGTTTTCTTGTTTTCTGCATGTACGCAATAGTGTGTTTAAGAACTAGGATGTGAGAGGCTTCTGACAGGGAGTGTGCTGGCAAGCGTCGATCGCAAAAAAGCCAAAACAAAAAGATGTTGATGGGATCTGCACCATGGCTGTTTTAGACTCACAAGTATCAACAGGACACATGAACACAGTGCGCCTTCACTTCGTTTGTCCCAACACACATTTTGAACTATAAATCACACACTCGGACACATACCCTTAATTCGCCAAAACACACACGCAGCTCATTCTCGCTCTACTATCAAACACACATGCAAAATTGGGATTGGCTGCATACTCTGGATAAAAAGGTGTGTATGTCATTTCCGAAGACCCTGACGCGCCGCTTCTTGAGTGCAAAATCCCAGGTGTTTAGAGGGTTGGGTGTCTTTTGAAGATTGAAGATTCTTACTTCGCTCTGTTGCCTCTTTCCTCCCCAAAGAGTGAGAGAGAGAGTAACGATGGATACGATGCAGGGGAGGGCAGAGAGGGTGTAGTGGGTGGTGCGTATTTAAGCGGAAGTGGCGATTGAATATTTGGTCACTGTTAGATTGGGTATGTCACGTGCACTGCTGATTTGCACTCCGCCTCCCCGTTCAGTAAAGCCGCTTCTCGTAACTGTGGAGGCAGGGGGGAAAAATTGGAAAGAAATCAGCAAAATGCTCCAATATAAATGAGTATTGCTGCCACAACTACGCAAACTACAGCACACTTTAATTCAAGAAATTGCATCTACCTGCTACAGTATTTGGCAGGAAAACGCTAAATTGCAGTTCCACAAAAGCAAAAACTGGAGTAGCAGGAGAGAAAGCATATTTCCGCTGTAAATAAAGCTAATATTCTATTCTTGCAACTAGTCAAGCAAATAACAATAATAGAAAATGCTAATATTTTTTTGCTGTTTGTTCCCTTTTTATGGCAACTTCCTTACAACTATAAACCAGGTCTATTTTCCAGTGCTAATGTCAACACTTAACAGGAAGTACAGTAGTACTGGAGCCAAGATGTTTCTTAGCAATGTAATAATGAAGTCATCTAATGAGAGTCCACAAAGAAACTACTGTTCAGCATTCCCATTCCTGTTTTTGGGACTGGCAGATTAAATGACCTGCGTTTGCATTCAGATGCTTTTTTTTTTTGCCAAAGGGAACAAAAAAACGGAATACTGCAATTTTAATAATATAGTTAACAATAATTTACCTTTGAATCATAATTCTTTGTGCATGATTCCTACAGAGGACAAAGTAAAGTCTAATATTTATGTTTTGTTGTGTATACAAGTGTATGGTTTGATGCAGGTTTGTGTGTTTTTGCACTTACGAGTGGAGTCCATGAACTCCTCCCTCCACCTGTGCAGACATGGTCCTCTTTTCAAACTTCAGCTCTCCAGAGTACATCATGGAACTGAGAAAGATGGAAGCGTAGTAAAAATATAATACACGTAAAAGTTAACATCTGTATTATAACCAGTAATTTCTCAAACACACACACACAGAACTTACCGGAGGACAGAAAGGCTCTTTGCCCCGATGTCCTGGCACCCATGCTGGATACCAGCTATCAGGTAAGGTACAAACTTGTGGATGGAGCCCTTGTCCTGCACCGAGCCCGACACACCCTGGGCTACCTTCACCTTGTCACCCTCACTGTGGAAAGACGTCAATATTTGTCAGATGGAATTAAAGCCTTGGAAATAGCTGCTCTTGGAATTTGGCTTTTCACTACTTTCAGGCTCCCACGTACCTAAAATAGCGTTTCTGGCTGCTGGTGCTCTTCTCCATAGCGTCCAGGGAGCCCATACCACGGTACTTTTTCAGCCGCACACCGTCTGAGAAGAAGTACTCCCCTGGAGCCTCAGTGGTTGCCGCTAGCAACGAGCCCATCATAACTGGAGTGGGAGACAGGAGAGAATTATTTGTGTTTCTTATATTACCCAATCCATCCTCACTGCTGTGATTAACTGCTTTGTTGTTTAATGAAGGGTGGATTTTTCTAAGATTAACAGGCTGCATGAAATATAACTGTTAGATAAGACATTCATTCCGTGTGTCACAATCTGAGAAACCTCACCTGTCGATGCTCCAAGAGACAGAGCCTTCACCACATGGCCTACGGTCTGAATGCCACCATCGGCGATGACTGGCACGCCGAAGCGCCTGGCGTACTCTGCTACCTTATACACAGAGGTCCCCTGGGGCCGCCCGCACGCCATGACTAGAAGGTAGAAAACATATCTGATTTGACTGCCATGGAAACAGATCAGGTCAACAAAACAAAAAAAAAAGTCAGTATGTCAGATCAGACCCTTGGGACATTGTAACTCTAACAAGAGATAACGAGACACATTTTAGGCTCGTGTCCTTTTGCTGCAACATCTCTCTCCTATTCTTGTCGGTGAACGCGACCCAGTCTGAGCATGAGAGGCTGGTCCCCATGGCAACCCAGAATGGGGCCTTGGCAGATCACCATGACAACTAGGAGTGGTCTCAGGGCATTTGTTACTGTTAGCAACAGATAGCCTTTTCTTCTCACTGTAGCTCATGACCAAATTAAGAGCAGGCACAGGTAGTACTGATGTGCTGCAGTTTAAGATTTATATACATCTGTCCCCATATTTAAAAGCTAGCAGTTACACGGTCTGGTTTTCTGGATAATGAAAATATAGTGGAACTACGTTCAGTACCTTCCTGTGTGATGCAGATGGAGCCGCAGCCCATGCCAACCCTCAGAGCATCGACACCGGCATCGATCAGATTCTTGGCCTGTGCTGCTGTAACCACTGCAGGTGAGGGCAAAGAATAAAAATGGTCAGCAAATAACAGCAAACTATTATATTTTGTTGACAATATAATAAAGCTGCCAAAAAAAGCAGGGAGTGCTGTGTGTACAGTCCTGTGACTAACACTTTCCACTGATACTATGTACATATTAATTAAAGCAACACCACCACCAGCACACTCAAGTGTTTTCAACAAACTCACCATTTCCTCCAGCCACTTGCAAGTCTGGATACTTCTGTTTAATATAATTTATCATGTTGATCTGATACACTGAGTTCCCTTGTGAAGAGTCCTGGAGATGAAAAAACATTGGTGATTTAGGTGCAATAGCGTTGGCCCTGAGGATTCAGCAGTCTAAAACAGATCATTTCCACCATATTTCACCCATAGTTCCATTATTTAACAAGTATCAACACTTCTGCACTTTCTGTATCAGTGGAACAGTTTCATGCACTTTCACGCAACCTCTGCTCAAACAATTACCTCCGGTCCGAGACTTCACACACTATATATTTACAATATAGGATACATCAACCCACAATTCAACCAGCAAAAAAACCCACCAGTACGACAACATCCACCCCAGCCTGCACCAACAGGTCCAGTCTGTATTTGTCGTCCTCCCTTGTGCCGATGGCAGCGCCACACAGCAGCTGTTTACGCGAGTCTTTTGAGGCCAGTGGGTAGTCCCTGTTCTTCTTCAGATCTGTCCTGGCTATAATGGCCACCAGCTCGTCATTATTATTTACAATGGGAAGCTTGCCTGTTTACAGAGAAAGTAAAAGTGTGGTTATTAAATGACATGGAAATACCAAAATCCTGCGACAAATATGTGCCGTCAAGCAGGAGCTGTTATTCACCTTTTTTACTGCGCTGCAGGATATCATTGGCTTCTTTCAGTGTAACACCGGCTGGAGCCACTACCAACTCATCCCTCTTTGTCATGGCCTTGAAGATGACAAGCATAATTTAAATGTAAAAATGATCAAATGAGAGATGCAAACATTTTTAAACTCGTGTACATACAGTTTCTTAAAAAAAAAAAAAATACACACCTCCTCGAGAGGTTTGCCATGGTCTTTCTCAGAAAGGAAGTCGATATCTCTGGAGGTGACGATGCCCACCAGTTTGCTGCCCATTTTGCCCGTCTCTGTGACAGGAATACCAGAGAAGCCATGTCTTACTTTGGCCTCGAACACATCCCCGACTGTGTGGCGTGGACTCATCACAACTGGGTCTGTGATAAAACCCTGCTCAAACCTCTGGAAACCAAGAGAAACCAAAGCAATTGTAATTATTATTAATTATTCATTAATCCCTTTATTTGTCCAAAGCAGCAGAAGTAGCGCCAAACCAAACACCACACACAGGATATACAACAATAAAATATTAATATGCAAAACACAAAAAAAACAGTAGTAACAAACACACACGCACACAAAACCTACAACAATATATAAACAATAATATGAAACGCACAAAAAACAGTAAAACACACAGAAAAACAAAAAAACAAAGATGGAAGACAATTACCGTGACCTATACAGGGACAAGATGACAAGAAAGGTGAAGGGTATAGTTGTTGTAAGAGTTAAGTTAGGTTGGTTAAGGCTAGAACTTCCTTTTGGTGTGTAACATGCGTGGTGTGTGGGCGCCATGGTGATGAAAACAAAAAGATAATTAACAACAACAATACTACTTCAAAACACGATTAGTGAGCATTTGACTTTACTACAAAATGCTCAGATGGTTTAAAAAAAAACGAGGAAGATTCAGAAAATAGTTCGTATGAAGGATAATGTTGTTTTACCTTAACCTTGCGGACCTCATTGGCTTGGAATTCTGGTGTGCAGTTGTGATGAATGATGCCGATGCCTCCCATTAGCTGCCAAATTCAAAAAAGGGAAATAATGTGTGGATGTTAAATGAGGCAATAAATGAAAATCACTGAATAATTCAGCAGTGTTGACGAAGCGGTGTCTTACCGCCATAGCGATTGCCATGGATGACTCTGTGACCGTGTCCATGGGGGAGGAGATGAGAGGGGTCTTCAATGTGATCTTCCTGGTCAGTGCTGATGTCAGGTCCTTAGATACAAAAAGTAGGGGGGGAAAAAAAAAGGAGTGTTTGATTCTATTTTGCACATTAGCCACCAGGGGGCAGCGTAAACTTGACAGATGCGATACACTGCACAGCTGTGTCTTATATTCATGCCTTTTCGGTTTCATTGACGCATAGGCCCAAATTACTGGAAGCCAATGAAGCCAGTTTAAGCAGACTCAAAAAATATTTATGTATGTTACAAGAGCTCTAAAGTAGAATAAAATAATAATTTAAACAACTCAGTCCATTCCTCTCAGGGACCGGAATCTGACACTCTTGAAAATGGAAATGAGCCAGTCTACTGCATCTCAAACAGCCACGCTTAACTTTCACATCTTCCCACAACAGCCAGCAGAACAGAATTCTTTGTCTTCAGCTGTGTGTGAAAATAACGACATTCTTTGCACATGGGAAACCAGCAAATGAGCTCTACGGTGTCCAAGCTCTTACTCCTTATCTGTGACAGACATAAACTACAGAGGCTTTTCTCAGGGGTTCAAGGTGAAGGCCAGAGAAATCCACTAACACCACTTCTCCATTTGGAGAGCACAACTGCACTCACCTGCTAAATTCTACTGAGAGTTAGGAGAGAAGGTCAAGAACATCACGAGCCCAAAGAATTTCCCACAACAGCTCCACACACACACACACAC